CGTTAAAAAGTCTTAAAAAGTATTGAATTTAACTTGCCGTATGCTGTAGGAACCCTGTGAAGCTTATGGCGATCTGACCTTAAATTTATTTTTTTCATTACTAAATCGATACACGCCCATTGAGGTCGTTCAAAGCCAAATTTTTGGACAAAACTAAAGAGAAACGACAATCTGAAGTCATGTGCATGCGTATTGACTATGGGTATGTTGGTCTGACAGAACACCGGCGCTCTCCAAAGCAGGCATTAGCGTGAATGCTCTACTTCCCATCATCTACTTCCACCAACAGCAGAGGAAAACCCAGAAGAGGCGAGCGCTGTAGCTCCCAGATCTGCTTGGTGACCAGTGACCTTTAACTAAATGATTGGCTGAACGATGCTCCATGATGTAAAACATTGTGGTTGCCCAGACAACGATAACATAATGCAGCGTCAGTGTGCTGAGTTGGGAGCATCTGTAGCGTTAGCGTGTCTAATGACTGATGAAGTTTTATTACTATTTCTGGTGAATAAAGTAACTGTTCGACCATGATATAAAGAGCTGGGTAGCGCTTTGGCTAGCTATGCTCAGTAGCTAACAGGTTAGCCTCTTTTAGCTCGCTCAGTTAGCCACATTAAGCTACACTACTCTTAAATTTGTGTCAACAACAACTGTTTATGGAAGAAAAACAGTCTCATAGGAATCTGCCTTTTTTTTCAACACCGAATTTTAAACACTGATTTTTTTTTTTTTTTTAGACATTGAATTCCTTACACTAAATTTTTATCTGATAAAAAAATTCACCAGAAAAAAATTCAGCCGCAAAAGTGTTGACCTTTTGGTGAACTCAAGCCAAAGCGATCTACACTCGATAGAGTCGAGCAGCTTCTAGCCAATGAAATTAGCTCATTTTGGTCACGTGACACAACGGCTGCACTGAGGATTTTTTTTTTGTTAAACAGAATTATAAAACGTCAGTTAGCCACTAATAGACAGCTATTAGAGTTTATCCTCTTATCAGACTGGGTGAAACAACTGAGCCGATCACAGCTGGTGCGGCTGCTGGCCGAAATGAAGAAAAAAAGTTTGCAGATTCCAATGAGACCGTTTTTCTTCTATAACCGTTTGATTTCTACAAGTAGAATAACTGTTTTTATGTCTAAAATCTATTTTAAGATGTCCCATCTGTCCTCAGATCTTAAAAGGGGACCACCATTTTTTTTAATGTTCTACTCACCCATATGAGTTTAGTGTCATTTGGAGCTGTTCTGAAGATATTCCGTTAGGTTATAT